AATCTATGGTTTCAGATTTATAAATTGCCTCCTGTCAGTCATAGCTTCTCAGGGCTGTCATTGTGTCTTGATCTAGCACTTGCTCTCCACCCTCTTAATTTACGGTGACCTGAGAAACCAAATATTTCCCTCCTGCTAGAATTGTATCTAAAGGCAGAGTGAAATAGCTCTGGGGAGAGTCTGGGAAAGAGCTAGCTATTGGATGAAGCTTGCAAGAGATTGGGAAGTTCTCTTCTGAATGGTGTATGCATTTTGTCGCAGATGTTGGCAGCTGGAAAGACTAAATCTTGGTTCCCAGCTGTTTTCTGGATAGTTGAGGTTGCTAGCTTATGACTGCTTTCTTCTCTCTTTCCTCCACTGATAGGCAGATCTTCTTTCCCACTCTTGCCAATTTTGGAATAGAAAGGAGAGGATGAAAGTTTTCTCAGGGAAAGTGAGAAGAAGGTGAATGAAAGAAAAAGCTGTGACTGAGGCAGGGGCTTCAATTATCTGTCAACCACTGTTCTTGAAACCTAAGATGTACCTGAGCCCTGTGGAAGATACGGGAGGTGGGGAGGGGAAGGGGATGATGATGGCGATCCTGCCTTCATGAAGCTTCATGTTCTGTTGGGAGAGAGAACTAATAGACCTGAAACCCTCAGTTGAAAGTGGTAGAGACTTTCTGCGTTGGGCTTGAGTTCAGAGAAGGTGACTTGAGTCAGGAAGGTGGAGCCAGCAGTGTGGGGCTCCAAGTGGTAGGTGGCCGTGCAGTCCAGTATACATGGGAGAGACCAGATACATTGGGAGGCCAAGGAGGACGGTGAGTTGATGAAACCCCAGTTAAGAAGTGGCAGCGGCGATGGAGAGATTTAGCAGGGCATCTGGTAAGTCCATTTCAAAGGCAGAATTGATGAGGGTCCCAGACTGTGTAAGGTGTCTGTGTGCTTGGTTAAAATGCAGACTCTTGAGCTTTTCTTTAGTTTGGGGTGGTGCCCAGGAATAGTCCAGGTCTTTCTGGTTGATACAGGTGGCAAAGGATGAGTAAGGCAAAGCTGATTAATTCCCCCAGGAGAGACAGAAATCGGAAGGAGGCATCCAAGATGGACAGCCTGGTTTTTGTCACTGTATTACAGAGGAAATAGAGAGCAGGTAACTAAGAATTACGGAACATGGAAGCGAGAGCGAACGTAGCTCCTCAGCTGGAGATAGTGTTCCGCAGGCAGTCCTCACCCTTCACCCAGGCTCTCTTTCTTACCTGGTCACTGTCACATCGGAGAACATCATGATGCTAATAGAAATCAGGTTCTGGTTCAGCCCTCCTATGAGCCAGCGGTTTTATACCTAGGAGAGCTCTGTGCGTTGGGCATCGTAACACCAGGCAGAAATCCTATAATGAGTGCGTGCTTTATCACATTTGGTGAATAAGAAAATACGGATTGCCAGTAAAAGAATACACAGAAGCTGCTAGTGCTGTTACTAGACGAACCAAGAGAAATCATAGTGGTAAATAGCTTAGTAGTTTCTTCGCATGCGAAAGCCATCATCTTACATCACTTCTCACGTAGTAAACACTCGACAAAGGAATGTTCTTTACAGATGAGTTTTGATACCTCTTGCCAACTCCATGATAGGGGCCAGCCAGTGCTCACTTAGGTAACGAACAAGCCAGTCTGTCCCCACTCCTGTCTTTTCCCTCAGCAGCGTGGGCGGTGGGGTGCACCTCCAGGCCTCACTTTGCCCCAGAGATCTCACCGGCAGGTTGTTTCTTCAGTTTCTTCCAGCTCTTCTCTTAATCCATTTGTATTTCTCCCATCCTCCCAAGAGAAAAAGGAAACCCCCTAGGAATAGGTCAGGGGCTATGCATCAGAATCAGCGGGTCAGCCTTCAAAAGTACCAGCACCTGGGCCCCATGCCCAGAGATTCTGTTTCATCTCTTCTGGGCATCAGAATTCTTAAGCTCCCCAGGAGATTCTGATGGGTGGTGAGGACCGAAGAAACACCTCAGGTAGTTGACAGAGGTGACAGTACAGGGTACTAGCAGTACACTCGTCCCAAGGAAAGTGAAAGCCTCAGGATTTGAAATGGACGTTGATATTTTTAAATAATGCTTTTGGCCACTCATGCCTCAAGTGTGAGCCAGATGCCCACAGAGTTCTCCTTCGTGCTACCTTCCTTCTTTATTGGAGCCTGCTTCCTGTATACAAGCACCAGCATTCCAATGAAACAAAACAAAAACGAGAGCGTTCTTTTATTTGCTCTAGGATTTCTGGGATATTGTTTTCCACCCTGTCCGCATAGTTGAGCGTGACGGGAGCCCCCTGACGAACTCGGAGATGCAGCGGGTTGTGGCGGAGTGCCTCCTGCACGCCATCTAACCTCTCCAGGCCTCGCTTTCTGGTGCAGCAGCATCAGTGCTGGGGAGCCCTGTCCGCCGGAGGACAGACGGTCACAGGGAATCGGTCACATGCTGTGGACCATGAATGCCTAGTCTTTGTTTTGTGGTCTGAGGAGGCTCAGTGTTACATTTTTAGGAGGATACTTGAGAGAGAAAAAAAATTTTACTTCTATTGGATAAACAACTTTGAAGTCTCTCTGTTCATCCTTGAAAGAGAGGGATGACCAGGAGCTAATAATTTTTCTCAAAAACATTTTAGGGTTGTTTTTTTTTTCTTCTTGAGCCAATTGGAAATTAGATCTGAAAACAAAAGGCCCTTGAAGGTCTTCATTCAGTTAGTCTCTAAACTATTGTGTTTAGTTCCATAAAAATTCCTTCAGCAAGTGTCTTTTGTCATCTTTTGCGTTTAACCTGAGACTGTTTTGTGGCCTAATGCTTCTTTGTCAAAACTTTCTTGGGCCCACGCTTTGGATTGCGTACTGAAAAGGCCTTGAACAGAGACATGTCAAAACCAAACGAGTAAAAAGTTCCATCTTTTTGCTAATTTCAAATAGATACGGAAGGACAAAAAAAGGAAAATGCAAGGCAGAGTTTCTCCCCTGCGTCCGGTCAGTGAGTGATGTCACTGTAGTTATAAGTAACTTCTCAAACACCACCCAGAGTTCCTCCGGTCCCGCTGACCTCCCTTTCTCCTTTCTGTAATTGCCGAATACAGCCCTTAAAACCCATGTAGGACCAAACACAGAATGTAAGCTCTGTGATCTCATCCCCACAAAAACAGGCTGCAGGGACCGTCCTTGCAGGAAGCCGCCTCGCCTTGGGACCTCTGCAAGCCGGTAATTGACAGTGGTGCCTTTGCGGTCTTAAAATCAGAAAGCACGCATCCCCTGCCCTACATGCGCTGCTGTAGGTGGAGAAGGGGCCAGAGAGAGAGGATGTGTGAACATGACCTGTGTCACCTGCTGTGAAGGGCACACTCGTCTGTGGGTCCTCTGGGCAGAGGGTCTGTCTGGCAGCGGACATGTTGCGGCTGCGATGGATACCCTTTCCTAGTCTGCCCCTTGTGCTGGAACAAATGGGGAGCCCGCCTTCTCTGCTGAGGTGTGCTTTGTGGCAGGAGCTTGGCTGAGTGCTGGCGGCAGCTGGGAGACGGATGACTCCCTCCCTGGCTGCCAGGGCCCTCCGCACAGCGGCAGGTGATCCTTTTTATCAGCATAAGAGGACGCCTGGGATATCTGAGCTGCTATTCAGCAGGTGGTGCTGTCCTGCAGTGAAAGCTTCCACGCTGCCCGCGAGGTCAGTGAGCTGGCGAGGAAGGAGCCCGGTGTGTGGGAAGCCTGGGCAGCATGAGATGAGGCCTCTCGGAGGAAACTTCACACCTTGGACTCGGGGGACCACCTGGTTCGTGGCGGGGTCTCCTCTGCATCCTGCTTGAATGAGAGCTCCGATCCCCCCCGCGTTCCTTCTCATCTTTGAAACCCTGGTGGGTAAGGGGGCGTGGATCGGGAGCTCCTCATTAAACAGACTTAAAAGGGAGGAAAGGCCTCAGCCAGCCTCTGCATGCCAGAAACCTATTAGTGCTCAGGTGCCCGGCCAAGGGGGTTTGGTTGGCCCAAACCTGACCGCCCACGTTTTTTTTTTTTTTTGTCCTTTTTGGCAACGGAGCCCAGCCGTGGACTTGGGTGAGGGCTGGGTTGTCCGTGTGTTTGAGCATGGACAGCTCCCTTGCAAAGGGACTTTTCCCAGGCTTGGTGTGGCAGTATGTTTCCCTGGGAAAGACTGAGTCAGTCATGGGAAACCTCTGGTTGGAATTCTTTAGTCAACACACATGGTGGCGCATCCGCCTCTCCCTGGGATCGGAGCAGGAGGAAGGTGTAGGGGCCGGCAGGTGAGACCAGCGCTTGAGAAACGGGTAGGAGGGGAGGTCAAGGCAGAAGGAAGCAAACGCTGGGACACAGGCCCCAGCGAGGTGCTCTGAGTGCAGGGGAAGGACTGGTGACGCCTGAGCTGAGCGTGGGGAGGGTAGTCTCCAGGAGGGGGGAGGGAGGTGTTCAGGATGAGGGCCAGGG